GACCCGTTTTCGATGCTTCAGCCAAGGAACTAGATGCTCCTTCATTGAATCAGTGTTTGGAAAAAGGTGTTAATTTAATCGAATTGATTCCAAACATTTTACTACGATTCCGACAGAGTAAAATAGGAGTGGTGGCGGACATACGTAAAGCGTTTCTTCAAATAAGCATCCATGAAGCCGACAGAAATTTTCTACGTTTCCTCTGGGTGGATTCTAGTGGCCATGAAGTAGTTTTTCGTCATATGCGAGTAGTCTTTGGAATCAGTAGTAGCCCATTTTTACTGGCAGCTACAATCGAGTACCATCTGGCCAAGGCGATTGAAAAGTGTAACATGGAGAAGGGACCCTATTGCAAGGAAAATTTGGAAAAGCTATCTAAAAGCTTTTATGTAGATAACTGTGTGACAAGTGTCTCGGATGACGTCACATTAGAGCGGTTTATCAGGGAATCCAGTATGGTCATGGCTGAGGCCAAATTTGATTTGCGAGGGTGGGAGTTCTCTCACCAGCGGGAAGCCACTGATTCCTCTCAGCACACAGGATTACTGGGAATGACCTGGCAAACTGGAACTGACATGCTGGGCATTAGCAAAGATTGTTTAAAGGATTTGGACAAATTATTGGTTGAGCCTGTAACTAAACGGAAAATGCTGTCTCTTGCTCAGAGGATTTTCGATCCGATTGGGTTTACCAGTCCAACAACATTGATCCCAAAATTACTCCTTCAAAAAATCTGGAAGATGAAACTTACATGGGACGCGAATGTAGATTCTGAAACCGAAAAACTCTTCCATAAATGGTTGAAGGACCTTCCTTGTTTGCTGGACATTCAAATACCTCGATGGATACATGGCGGAACAGCAGAGGCTCAGCACTTGAGTTTCCATACATTTGCTGACGCAAGTCAAACAGCATATGCAGCAGTCGTTTTCGTAAGATGCGTGTGTGATGACAATGTTTTTGTACAGTTGGTCGCTGCGAAGAGTAGGGTGGCCCCCCTTCACGAATTAACTATCAACAGATTGGAATTAATGGCCGCACTTATCAGCACCAGACTATGTTCTTCAGTAATAGAAGGTCTTGGATTGGCCGTTGAATGTTTCTATTGGACTGATTCTTCTACAGTGTTCTCCTGGATTACTAGAAATGAAGCATGGGACACCTTTGTTTATAATCGTGTGGCTGAGATTAGACGGCACACCTCCGTCAATATGTGGCGCCATGTTCCGGGAACGCTAAATCCTGCCGATTTGCCATCGCGCGGCTGTTCCGCTGAAAAGCTGCTAAAATCGAAATGGTGGGAGGGCCCAGGTTGGCTTTATGGAAGTCCTGAAACCTGGCCTCAAGGCACGATTCAGTGTAATGAGGAAGAAATAGGTCGTGAAAAGAAAAAGAAACTGGTAACGACTTTGATCAATACAAATACTGGAACGACTATGACCTTCCAAGATTGGCACTTGAGCTATTTCTCAAAATATTTTAAAACTATACGTATGATTGCATGGATAATCAGGTTCGGGTACAATACACGAAACTCACTGAATCGGCACCAGGGAGAACTGACAATGGAAGAAATTAACACAGCGGAAACATTTGTTTTGAAAATAGTACAAACGGAGGCTTTTGCTGGAATTGCAGAGAAAAATTTATCGACGCTTAATCCATTCAAAGACAAGGATGGACTTATTCGTTTGAAGACAAGAATAAGTTCAAGAGATGACAAGGAACATTTTAGATTTCCCGTATTATTACCCTCCAAGCATCCTACAGTAACGAATATTGTGTTTGATACCCACGTTAAACATTGCCATGTAGGAACTCAAGGACTTATGTCTATTCTACGAGAGAATTTTTGGATCTTGGGTGGCCGTCGCGCAATAAAGTCGGTAATATCAAGATGCTGGGTGTGTAAGAGGCACAATAGCAAACCGTTCCAAGCCAGTGTTGTTCCGTTGCCTCTGGATCGTGTTCGTGACGCGGCAGTATTCGAGGTGACCGGTGTGGACTTTGCGGGCCCGTTGCATTTGAAAGGTGGTGAAAAGGCCTGGATATGCCTCTTCACCTGTGCGGTGTATCGTGCGGTACATCTTGAACTTTGTACTTCGTTATCGACGACGAATTTCATGCAGGCTTTGCGTCGATTTATCGCGCGCCGCGGTCGACCGAGGACAATGTATAGTGATAACGGGACAAACTTTGTCGGGACGGATAACGCGCTTCAAAGGTTGGACTGGAATAAAATCGTGTCCGAAAGTTGTGTTGACCGTATAACGTGGCGATTCAATCCTCCCACTGCGGCTTGGTGGGGAGGCTTTTGGGAAAGACTTGTTGGTGTGTTGAAACAGCTCCTACGTAAAACGCTTGGTCGGGCGTGTCTAAGCTATGAGGAGTTAGTAACTGTCTTGTGCGATTGTGAAATGGTTATAAATTCGCGACCATTAACTTATGTATCGACAGATGTGTCAGAAATGGAACCACTAAGACCAATTATGTTTCTTCAAGACAGACATGAGAATGGTATTCCGGATTTGGATTTGGTTGACAGTCAGTCATTGTGTAGACGAGTGACTCTTCAGAAAAGACTACGAGAAGAATTACGACGCAGATTCCGCAGTGAATATTTGGGACAACTTAAATCTTTCCACAAGGTTAAACCCGGACGTGACATAAAATTGGGAGAAATTGTCTTGATTGGTAACGATACACAGAAACGTCTAGATTGGCCTTTGGGACGGGTTGTTGAATTTTTGACTGGCAAGGACAATCAAGTGCGTTTGGTGAAATTAACAACTGATAGAGGTCAATTGTTACGGCCTATCCAGAGACTGTATGCCTTGGAATGTGTACCTCATGAAGCCCCTGGAGAACATTACCCGGATCCCCATGAAACAAATGATGCACCGCCAGAATGTCGCCATAGTGAAGATTGTCGTATTGAAAACCCAGCGACCGGTGAAAAAAGTTCGGGTGGTGCGGGAGTGGAAAGTAATTCATTCGTTCCGTCAGTAACGGAGGACGCTGTTCACGTTACTCGTGGTGGTCGTGCCATTCGCAAACCAAGAAGGTTTTTGTAGACTGTAAACTTAACTCTTGTTATACCTATATTATTGTAAAGGAATCTTGTATTTTTAGTTTAAGACTTGTAGTATTATGTGTTGAAATGAGACACTGTAATTGAAAATGTCTGTAGTGTCTCAGGTGGGAGAATGTTAGTTCCCTTGTTGGTCGTTATCGAACGACTCAATAATTAGTAAGTAACATTATGTTGCTTTGTCACTAATTTTCTGATCCCGTTTTGATTGTTATCGAACGACCCCATAGTAGAGAAGTGTCAGTCAGTGTCAAGTCAAGTTAGCTGTAGCGTCCGAAGGTAGCGTCATCCAAAAATAATTATTATTAACAATTTAATGTATTTTGCTTGTAAACTTGAGTTCTTGGATAAAGTTTCGGGGTCTGTAAAATTGTCATTTAGTTCCGTTGTTGTTTTTCGCGAAGGATGCAATAAAACGAAGTTATCGAGGAAGTGTTTTGTTTTATTAACTTCGAACAGTCGAAAGCCCATTAAGACGGGTAGTTTTTCTGGGGCTCGACACTTGGAACCGCTTCGAAGCTACAGCAGGAACCACGAAATTGACACTGATGCCAGCAGCTGACCAAGATTGCGGCGGCCAGAATGTCTAATCTTGAGAAGTATTCAAAATTAGCCATAAGAGAAATTTATAGGATTTAGTTAAAAAACCATAAAGTGGACCAGTTTGATTATATTGACCTGCATTGACGCAACCATGTAATACAAACAATAATCCAATATTGTTATTAATTAACTAGCAAGTTTTAAAATACCAACCTAATTGCAGCAATCTGCAAAATCATCATCATTCCAAATTACGTTTATTTTATTAATAATTTTTGTGTATAAATATCGGCTCATTTCAAATAATAAATTAGTATCAAACCTTTACTGGTGTATTACTCACTTACCACAAAACCCTAAGCCTATACCCAGAGTGTGAGGCTGCACTCTACCTAAAGACGAAAACCCTTCACAGTCGTCACCTCTACAGGGCACTGTGAAAATACCGACACCAAGGTTCTCCCATATCAAAAGGGAAATCTTTCATCTGGAAAACGAAGCATTTCCGGACACATGTTTATTAAGAAAAAAGTTTTATTTTTACGAGATCTACCATCCCTAGAAGTTTGTAACAAACCTTTCGTGACACCCTGTATAAATATTAATCTACGTCGATGTCATTATGACATATTTAGCATTATCATTTGAATGTCATTAGGTCCTTCATAATAGCACTAGTGCGTTTAAGAATTCATAAAAACACCCAAATTATGAAATGAAAAATATACAAAAAGAAAGCTAGTCACCAGAAGAACCTTTTCATTGATGCTGTCTCGATATTCGAAGAGACACTTTCGAACTCAGAATCACCAATATTAACATTATTTTCCACTATAAAACTAAATTTGCGGCACAAAAATTGGCTCCAATATTGAAGCTGCCAAAGTCAATAAAAATCAACAAGCAGGTTCCCGACTAGTACGGGTACCTGCTAAATTTTGAATTTTAATTTTAAAATTATTTGCAATTTCAAGGCAAATCAAATCTATTTGTAGATTAAATGTGTATCGTAGATTAAATTTTGAATGATACACGTTCGATATGAACTTTATTATTGAAACTTGTGTAACTAAACCACTCGGCTAACGCCTCGTGGTTTAACGTTACACGCGTTTCATTATGGTGTTCATATCGAACTAGTATCATTAATAACTATAATATGGTCCCACTCGGTCACCGTTCGAATACCTAGAGCAAGATTGGCACACCGAAGTGTATCGGACCGGACACACACCTACTCCTCGAAATTTTGACACCAACAACGGTTCTCGAACGCAACCCAGCAAAACGAAACGAAACTAATCAGCTGTTTTTAACGTCAATTTAGATTTTTGACACTGACAGTAGACTTTTTTTTGCAGTAATTTTTTTCATTGGAGATTGGAGAAGGTATTTTCTATTTAGAGGGACCCCCAAAAAATTCAAATCAAAATGTCCACATTAGCAGCCCCAGTGCGAGTATCGCCCGTAATCAAGGTAAATTATATTTTGCCACTATTTCACGTACACAAAACTTTTTATTTAAAAAAATAAAAGGTTAGTTTTCATTGGATTATGTAACACAACTTTTTTTTCGAATAGTTCTTCAGGTGGAGTTTCCTGGGCGTCGGAGTGGCATACGGGGCCTTCAACCAAAGCAGACTGTCCAGAAAGGAAACCAAAGTAAGGGAAATCGAAGCGAAACAAAAAGCCATTCGTGATGTTAAACTTGCTGCAGAAAAGAAAGCTGCTTCTGAAAAAGAGCTCCAGGAGCTTGAAAAAATGTTCGTCAACTAAACTGAATTTGTATAAGTTTTAAGATTTATGTAGTGATAAGTAATAAAAAAAGTTTTTCTTTATAGTACTGTCAATACCCCTATCTTATTTTTAATAATGTCCTAAGCTTTATTTTATCAGGTTCCTAATTGCAAACTAGCGTTTGATCAATTTTACTAGCCACTCCAATTGATTAAATTGAAATAAACTACCAACTACCTGTGATTGAGGTGAGAAGTTATATTCATATACAGTGGCGTAGCTATCGTAGGGCAATTCGGTGGGGCCCCGGTGGTAAAGGGGCCCCGAAGCCACGCGCAAAAATTTTTACCAAAAATATACCTACTAGCGAAAACTCACATGGGCAAAAGTTTTAAAAGAAGTTCGAAATAATGTATTAAAGCTAATAGGCCCTGAGATAGGGCCTGTTAAGTGGAGTCATTTTTTTTTGTCTGGCATTTTGAAGGATGAATGTGGCTAGTTAGCTGATGAGAATATAAGTGGTTTCAATGCCTGCCCCTTGTTCGAAATGTCCACAGGATGTTTTGCCGGAAAACTCGATTTCGAACTGTGATTACCGTCTGGCGATTTTTCAGCGTTATTTTTACAACAAAACCTTTTATTCTCTCGATTGCCAGACAAAAATTAAACATGAAAGGTTCTTTTCTTTTCTCTTGGAAGTTGACACCCATCCCCCCTTCTTCAGCTTTTGGAAAGCATCTGGTATTTTTTATGGGTAAATTATTTATCAATGTCAATCTTTTATTTAATAGCCAGAAAATTTGAGATCATTAAAAAAAAAATCTTCATGTAAATCAATTTTTTTCTTCTGCAAATTTTCGAACGGGAGGCAAGCATTAAAATCATCCATATTTTCATCAGCTTAGTAGCCACATTCAGCCCTCAAAATGCCAGACAAAAAAAAATTACTCCACTAAACAGCCTCTATCTCACAGTCTACGAAGAAATTAAAGGTGAAGCAGTAGCAGTGGAATTAGCAAGAAAGTGGAATTATTAATCCAGTAATTCCAGAAAAAAGGCAAGTCCGACATAAAAAGCATTTCGATGAACTCGCGAACGAGTGTGTGTGAGCTCTGAAACTAAATTTAAAGTGACTATTTATTATCGTGTAATTGACGAAGTAGTTGGTCAACTATCACACAGATTTGTTGGTATGGAATATGTTAAAGATTATTTTGACTTTTTACAACATTCTTACTTCTCCTGAATCGACAATCCTTGAAAAATGTAGAAAATTGTCTATCAAATACTCTGAATTAGTCAGTCATTCTCTAATACCCCAATATGTTCACCTTATTACTTTAGCCAAGGACCATCTACACCTTAGACCACCATTTCAACCTCAATTTCGGAAAAAGTAACTTTTATTTAGGAAAATGTAAAGTCTTTTTCGGAAAAAGTAAAATCAATTTCAGTAAAAGTAAAGTTAATTTCGGAAAAAGTAAATTCAAATTCGGAAAAAGTAAATTCTAATTCGGAAAATTACATCCAATTATGGAGAAAGTGATGTTATTTTTTAGAATAATTTGAATTGATGAAAAGTAAATTTAGCAGTGACTATAAACCTCCAGTCAGTGTACTTAACTTTAATTAGGTTCTATGAACATATGCCCTAAGATGCTCCCTGCAGAAGTTACAGCGCTTCAAACGGTAGATGAAAGTAATGGATTTTATTTATTTTCAAGAACAAAGGCAAACTATTTTCCTTGAAATTTGGTATTCTTGCATACATTTCGATGCCACAGCGAATGGCGAATGGTGATAGTAAAAAAAGTCGCAACAGTTCTGAAAGAGTATATAGTTTCCATAATCACCCCTCGAAGTCCGTTACACTATTTTTTTCACACCCTGTAAACCTCGAGTCAAACCGGTACCCTGATGGGTTCGATTCCAACCAAGACCTGTGTACTTTGTCCTTTAATTAGGTTCTCTATATTATTTTTTAGGTCTGATGCTCGTATGAACGAAACCCATGTCACTATTGAGTGAATAAAATAATGAACAATTTGTAGACTTATAATATAATATGGACAAATTTTCTGATTTTCTAAATAGATAAATGACTCAATCGATTCAAATTATCCTATAAAAAATAACATTACTTTCTCCGTAATTGAATGTACTTTTTCCGAATTTGAATTTACTTTTTCCGAATTTGAATTTACTTTTTCCGAAATCAACTTTACTTATTCTGAAATTGGTTTGACTTTTTCCGAAAATGACTTTACATTTTCCTAAATAAAAGTTACTTTTTCCGAAATTGAGGTTGAAATGGTGTAGACTCTAGACGACTCTATCAGCGTCAGGCAATATTTTGAATCAATACTTGAAAAATTTGGAATATTATGCCGGTTTTCCACTAAACGGACTGTTGAGTTTGTGTTTTAAAACAAGATCAAAACTGAAAGAAACACAAAATTCTTGTTTCCATCAAGCGGACTACGTTTTGTTTTCTCGTGAAAACAAAACTCTAACTGTCTCAAAACACACTAGTCTTGAAAATGTTTGGGAAAAGTTTGAGTTTGGGTTTTCTTTTTGTTTTGTCTGTTTGGTGGAAAACCGGCATTATAGAAAGTGGCTTATCTCAAGTGTATATGGCATTTTTGTTATTTTCCACTTTGCCTATGACAGTTGCTACTGTGGAACGTTTCTTTAGCAAATTGAAAATTATAAAAAAAAATACTGGGGGCCCCTGTAATTTATTTGCACCGGGGCCCCGTCCAACCTTGCTACGCCACTGTTCATATAATTTAAAAAAAAAACTGCTTCCACTTCAATTTTGATTATTTATAACTGCCGTTCTTAGCTTGGAAGCATCTACCTACATAAGTACCTAACTAGGTATTATCGTTTATAGCTAACAGTCAGTAAATTAAATTTTCCCATAAAAATTTGGTTTTGATTACTCATTATTTATTTGAATTCTTATAGTTTGTTACCTTTACTTCTGAGCTTCTGAAGGGCAAAACCAAATCTAAACCCAACTATTTGTTGATTCATGCATCAACTAATAGTAACTCTCTACTAAATATATTATTTATTTGAAATAGGTACTATAATTGTACAAAATCTCTAGAAACAATGTAGCTATTTTGCAAAAACATCTATAAATCATATAGTTGCAAAGAAAGTAGTGAACAATAATAATCAATAATCAAAATTATAAAAGATCAAGATTTCAAAAACATGATACAATATACTTAATTAAGCTATTTCCATTACATCCTCTTTGTCTTTTAGACTCATATCTGTGGTATCTTCTTCACAATTGTCCACTGTTATTTCTTCATTGTTGACATCAGTTTTTTCTTCCACCTTATCATTGACATCAGTTTTTTCTTCCACCTTATCACTAACATCAGTAGCATTGGTGTGTGTTTCATTACTTTCCTCAGTTATCTGTCTACTTTTCTTTTTAACAGTTTTATTGCCATTCATCAGACTTTTTCCTTTATCCATCTTGATAGTCTCACTTTTATTTTCTTTGTTTTCATCAGTTTTTTCTACAATGCTTTCCTCGTTTTTATCTTCTTCATTATTTTCATCTTGTTCTCCATCACTTCCCTCAGAAGATTCACCTTCATGAGCAGACTCGTAATCTTCTCCCTGATCTTGTTTCTTCACATACCTGAAAAGCAAAAATGTAAATTTTAATTTAGATTTGAAAGCAAAAACCGTTGGACCTAAAAACCTGATATGGCCTCTGACTTCACACGGTTGTTTGCACATAAATAAAATGCACCTTTCAAGAAACTATACAGGGTGATTCACAGTCGATGGACCATTAGACATTTCTGGAGAACCAAAGTACAAAATTCAGATCAATTTGTAATTTTTTACCCTATCTACACTTTATTTTTTCCCAAAATAGATTTTGACATTGAAAACTTTGAAACATAAACAATAACGCTTGACCCTGACTGGTCGCAAAATGAGGTGTTTCTGCAGGTTGACATCAGTTTTACAATAGCGACCAATAAGCGGCATTAGCGGCATTGTTTATAGTTGGGGAGCTGGCGTCAAAAACATGCAAGAGTTTTCGCAAAGCGGATATTTTCAAAATAGGTCGTACTTTAGTGTTAGAATGCTAGTGTACAGTCAGCACTCACAGTTCCGGGACAGCTGGCTCTGGGACGCGGGCAAAGTTGTAATTTTAAGAAGCATCTAAACTGTTTTCTCGAAGCTCGAAATTTATAGAAATTTTGCACATTATCTGTTTGAAGGTCACAGATAACGTATGTAAATCGTCAGACGTCTAGTTCGTTGCAAAAAGGGGGTCAGACGTCCTCAAAGTTTTTATTTTATGGCATTTTCTTCGGTGTCCTGTCAAAATATATTTTTGCAGGTATTTGACAAATATATTTGAAGAAAATGCCATAAAATAAAAACTTTGAGGACGTCTGACCCCCTTTTTGCAACGAACTAGACGTCTGACGATTTACATACGTTATCTGTGACCTTCAAACAGATAATGTGCAAAATTTCTATAAATTTTGAGCTTCGAGAAAACAGTTTAGATGCTTCTTAAAATTACAACTTTGCCCGCGTCCCAGAGCCAGCTGTCCCGGAACTGTGAGTGCTGACTGTACACTAGCATTCTAGCACTAAAGTACGACCTATTTTGAAAATATCCGCCTTGCGAAAACTCTTGCATGTTTTTGGCGCCACCTCCTGGACTATTATGTTTCAAAGTTGACAATGCCAAAATCTATCTTGGAAAAAAATAAACCATATATAAAATCTGTTTTTTTTTTTAAAGATAAAAGTCAAAATGACATTATGTTGAAAATACAATGTAAAATTGTCAATGCTTTCAAATTTTTTATGTAGAAAAGGCTTGTGTTGCCAACATAGTTACTAAATTTTTGACTTGGGGAATTATCTTCAAATAAAAAACAGACTTTATTAAATTTTCGCTATACAGTCGCTGATTGGCTAGGGTTGCCAACCATCCTGCATTTCGGTGGACGTCCACCATTTGGGGTTCATTGTCCAGCGTCCTGTAACAACCTATTGCAGGACGCCTTATTGTACATCATATACATTACTTAAAAATGGAATTTAATATTTTTGACTTATACACTTTAAAGTGACCATCCATCCCGATTTAGGCGGGACAGTCCCGATTTCCAGCTACGAGTCCCGATTTAATAAGCGTCCCGCCTTTGTCCCGCTTTCAATAAATTCCAACTTTAACTATCAACTTTTATTATTATTCATTTATTTTGAATCAAATTGAAAAACTATTTCGTTCAATAGTTATATTGAATCGTTACTTCAAATCTATAAGTTTTCGCAGATCTCAGAGCTCATAAGTCACAAAATCTTTGTCACAAGCATTTTAGCGTTGAACTTTGCTTCGACATTTTCAATGTCCTCCCCGGTTGCATCTTTGTGAAGGAGTGTGAATTTTTGTTTTGTAATTTAAAATGTGTTATTTTTTGGTATCTCATTACACTCATTACATATTTTGTACCGTAAAACGGGGATACTTTGTGACAAGGGGGAAACTTTGTGACATTGTGAAATTCAAATCAAATAAGCCAATACGTTTTAAATTCCGCGTGCCAAGCCAAAGTCTTCTACCAGCAGGTGGAAGCACATACCTCACCCGCTACAAAACCGCTCGGCAAGCTGGTACGCTCCCTTGGTAACTTGCAACCTGATTCGAAGGGAGCATCTCGTTTTTGGAACTTTTTCGAAACCGCCAAAACTTTCTACTGTACATCAGAATCTGAACATTCCTCAGAAAAATTCGTAAGACTTTCCAGTTGCTTGGGTACTTGTCGGGATAGCTACGTGAAATCGCTTACGATTTATTAATTTTACACATTTTTTTTTTAACAATTAACGAAACAGAGGAACCTAACGGGGCAACTTTGTGACATATAATTAGTATGGAAGAAACTTATGCTCAACCTAAAACAACGCTAAAAAGATCGGCATGTCTCCTAATGTGGACGACTTTCTAGACTTTCTATTGGTGGAGTTCACATCCCAATTTCTGGCTGAAGATGAGGGTGATAAATACTATATCGTATGATATAGAATAAAAATTTAAAATGTCTAAATCAGTATACCGGTCTGGCAAGTGAACATCTTACGGGCCAATTTTAATACAAAAGAATGAAATGTATAGAAAAAGTCTAAGGTTGAATAAAGAACGAAAACGATTTCCCCTATTCCACCTTCAGCATTCCCAGCGGATCATGCTGGAGGTGGAACAGGGAAAACCGTTTGCGTTCTCTATTTAACCTTAGACTTTTTCTAGACATTTCATTCTATTGCATTAAAATTGGCCTGCAAGATGCTGACTTGCCAGACCTGTATACCCGTGTTTTTAATATCAGAAAATTATCAATAGTAATATAACTAGTGCAATGGAAATTATTGATAATTTTTGGGAAATTTGCCCGAATGCATTTTTAGTTGAAAGTGCCTTTTTCAGTTAAAAACGCATGAGTGCAAATTTGTCGAAAATTATAAATATATTTCCATTGCACGAGTTGTATTTAATGAGAGAATTTCATAAATCAAAAATTTGAATTTTTTGTCAAAAAATGTCAAAGCACCAGTTTTCGCACCAGTTACTATGCAATTATCTGATAATTTGCACTAGTGCAAATTATCAGATAATTGCAATCTGATTGGTTCAAATCAACAATCAAAACATGTCAATTCATTGTTGGAATACCAGTTTTGACAGATGTATGAAATTCTCAAGCATATATTTCTTGACATTTTCTATCGTTTCAGACTAAAAATGACGGGGTTACATTATGTTTTCATTGTAAAAACGCACTTTCACAAAGTTGCATCACGGGGTAAAATTGGGACACGTTCAAATTAAAAAAAAGCTGAATTATCAATTTTTTTTCAATTTCCTATTATTGCCATTTTGTAGCGAAAGGACGGATATACATATAGTTCATACCAAATAAACTTATAGTCGGGTTGTCAAGCTCGGCCGGCACAGCGTTGCCGTCTCTTGCATATTTTCCTTTGGTCAAAATATTTTCAGAAACAATAATGGATTATATTATAATATAATGCAAACATTTATTACTTGAATTATAAACATTGTTTCAAAGCTTGGTTCAATAGATATTTATAATAACAACTCATTTGTCAATCATCACATAAAATATAATAGTAACGCTCAGTACCTATTTTATTAACAACCACTCTAAATACTATAAATAATTATATATTATGAATATTTAAACCATCAAGAATATTTTCAATTATTCTGGATCACTGAAATCGCTAGAATCGCTAGAGTCTTCATCAACATTGATCATGTTAAAAGTACAGTGGTATGGAGGTAGTCGTAAAACTTTATGTCCATACTGTTCTGCAAAGTCATCTACCACATACTTTTTTGTTGGTTTATTCCTGAAAAAGCAATACTTGAAAAGTTGAGCATAAAATGCATACAATTTTGGTATTGTAGGTACTTACTGGCAACAATGGTCACAAGTTCAGATTTCAATGCTGTATTTGGATACTCAACTTTCTGTTCGGTTAACCAATCTTGAATTTCTGCCTTGGTAGACGAACTATTAGGTGTCTTCGTTAATAACATGCTGTGGTAAGGAGCATTGTCTATAGTCTATAACAATGACAGATGGTTCACTCAAGTTCTTCAACAGCTGATTTTCGAACCAACGTAAAAAGTTTTGCTGATTCATTTCCCCATGATAGTTTTAACACTTCCCTTGTTGTTGTCTTGCCAAGAGCGGTTAATAGTTTCATTTTGAACCATCCAATAGTCTCGTCCAAGAAAACAAACTGGTACAAAGCCTCCTGTTTTAGTCTTGGATAAGACATCAAAAATGATATGCGTTCAACATCAATATTAGGAAGTTCCATGAGCCCTCGTCTTGGGTAATCTTTTTTCCATTTGAAGCTTATTTCTTTTAACAATCTGATCAATGACATGCGACTGCTATCAAATAATTGTTTGGCTTTTAATTGCTCCCATATACAAGATAATGTTACATGTTGTCCTACAAGAAGAAAGAAGGCGATTCATAGATATCTATGTACCTTTGTCTCAAACGATTTACTTTTTGTATACGTATCGTGAATAGTGTTACGTATAGCACTGCTATCGAGCTATGAAACATCACAGACTCTCTTCGAAGTGCATTGTTTCTTAGAAGGCGATTCCAAAACTGCGTTATTTCTGACTGCCTTTGAAACAGCACAGACAGTGGACATACTTAAGTTCAAAGCCTCTGCTACGCGCTAAAAATGAGAGAAAATAAATTTCAAATTGAAAATTCCTATATGGTCACACGACATCAATAACTTGTGAACTCACCTTCCTAACAGCATTTAAGGGGCATAAAGGGCCATTATTATCGCGTTCTCGTTCGAAATATTCATACAAGGATGCGATTAGTTCTTTGCAACAGCTGTTAAGCTGCTTCGGCATCTTGTACACTTCGCCCTACAAGCTGCTTTTGAAAAACTAGCTCACAATTATTAGCACTTAAACGAAAAACTCGTAAAATGCCAAAACGCAATCAAAATGTCAAGAATTTAATTTGGCAACATTACATTTTTTGAAGTGGTGTTACCAACTGAATAACCAGCGGGAAATTCAAATTCCAATTAAGTCAA